TAAAGTGTACTTGGTTATTAAATTCATTGACTAGAAAAATGTATGCTTCAAAGGGTTAAAAGAATTCATTTATTTAAAAATTGTTTAATATAATTCTTTATAAGAATTAAATTTTAAGAAACATTCAAGTATTCAATAAATAATTCACTTTTGTATTTAAATAATTGTATTCTCGTAGAATTTTCTAAAATAAAAATTGATTTTAAATTTTAGATAATAATAGAATATGAAAATAATTTTTAAGAAGTTACAGTAACAATATTCTTATAATATAAAATATAAGATTTTAACACTTGATCCTCTTTAATTATTATAAAACATGAAGAAATCGATCACTCCGAGTCTTCGAGTTGAAGTAATCCATTTCTTTATATTTTCTAACATTTTTTTATAAGTTTTTTAATTTTAAAAAGATTTGAATTTGAATAAGTAAATATTAAAAATCATAATATTTAAAATATTTTTTAAAAAAATTTTGTTTTCGAATCCCGTGTGGAAATTTTCCCAAGTTTTCCCAACTTTCAGATGGGCCCCAATTGGGGCCCAAGTGGGCATCCCATTTAAAAAAAATGAAAAAAATTTCAAAATAAGAAATATGTTTTTTTCAGTTAATTAATGAAATAGATAAAAAAAATAACATTTTTAAGTTATTCGTACTGCTTAATTTCAAAATCTAATCGAATTGAAGGCAAAACATATATGCAGTTCATTTGGGTTTAAGTTGTGGTTGCCCGTATTTGTGAATATCTTGGGACTGACAACCAAAGCCCATCTTCAGCAATTGGGATAATGTAGGGACTGACCATATTTGGGCCGAACTTGGGAAATGCAACCAAAACCCATCTTTTGCGCAAATGTTATCTGCGCAGATGGACTTAAAATGGCTAATTACATCAGCTGTTGTCTGTAGTGCAAGTGGTTTTAGATCTATGTATTTAAAGTATCATTTCGTCTACATTAAGTTTACATTTTAATAACTAAGTTTTTGAAATGGAAGAAGAAAGAAAAAGTAAAACTTATCAGAAATCTCGGTTTCGTGTTAAAAAGCATCGCGCAGTGTCAGAATTCTTAAATTCTTTACCAAGATCAAGTGAAGACAGTGGTAAGTTTTTAATATTTCACAATTTTATTTTATTTAAAAATTTTTTAAATTCAAATGACAAATTTTGTTAAATTTAATTTTAAAAAAGTATGCATAATTATATATGTATAATTTTTAATAAAAGTTATATTTCTAATAAAAGTATGTACAATTTTTTTATAACTTAGAAATATAATTGATTTTGTAGAATTGGAGGTTAGAAATGAAAGTGACTTTGAAGTGTTTAAAAATGAGCATGCTGTGAGAGATATATGTTCGATGGAACCAATGAAAATGTAATCCATAATCTTGAAAGTGATACAGGTAATCAATTATTTATATTTATTACAAAACAAACTTGTTTATTGCATATATAGGAATTAGATTAAAAATTTTTTATTTTTGCATTTTAGATACAAGTTTTAATAGTTCTGAAGATACCGAGACAGAAAGGAGTTTATCATATGGTTCAGATATAGAATCAGAGCAATCATCGGATGAATTTTCCGATTTTGAAGATCTGGAAGCAAATGAAGAAGACGTAGAAGTTGTCTACTATAATGAAGCGTACCGAGAAGAAAAAAAACAACTTCAAAAATGGGCAATTAAGAACAGGATATGCTTATCGAATATAGATGAGCTGCTATTAATTTTAAGAGCAAGGCTGATTCCAGACTTACCGAAATGTGCAAAAACATTTTTAGGAACAACTGGAGCTAAATATAATATTATTCCAATGCTGGATAACAAAGGTTCTGTGGGAGAATTTGTATATTTTGGTTTAGAGAAGTCTTTAAAGGCATGTGTAAATATAGATTTTCATTTAAACAACAAAATAGAGTTGGAAATTAATGCAGATGGAGTTCCTCTTGTTAATTCTGGAAATCAAACATTCTGGCCTATTCTTTGTAAAATTCATATGAATCCAGATGTATATGAACCCTTTGCTGTTGCCATTTATTTTAGAGAATCTAAGCCAGCTGATGCCAACATTTATTTAAATCAGTTTATTGAAGAAATAAACAATCTACAAAGAAACGGAATGGAAATTTCTGGAAATCATTTTCAAATTTCTATTAAGTGCTTCATTTGTGATACTCCAGCACGAGCTTTTCTTAAATGCACAATTGGACATATTGGCATCAATGCATGTGAACGATGCTCTACTGAAGGAATACGAATAGAAAAAAGAACTGTTTTTCCATATATTGATTCACCTGAAAGAACAAATGAATCTTTCAGACGTAGAGATCAAGCTGAACATCATAATGGTATAAGTGCATTATTACGAATAATCCCTCACCTGAATATAATTTTTACGTTTGTACTTGATTCAATGCATTTATTATATCAAGGAATAATGAAAAAACTTCTAGAACATTGGATTGTGCAGGGTGTAAATAAGTTAACTGCTAGGAAGAGACAAGAGCTTTCAAGAAGGATGAACCTTTTAAAGAACCAAATTCCTTGCGAGTTCCAACGAAAACCGAGGTCTACAAATGAAATAAAAAAATGGAAGGCAACGGAATTACGTTTTTTTTACTTTATGTCGGTCCTATTGTTTTAAAAAAGATATTGCTATCTCAACTTTACAAGCCTTTTTTATTATTGCATGCAGGTTGTCGTATACTGTGTTCTGACAAACTTTGTCTTGCAAATGTAGAAAGAGCAAAAAAGTATTTAGTTACTTTTTTCCAATACCTGGGAGAATATTATGGGATTACGTCGCAAACACTCAACTCACATCATCTTATTCATGTTGCAGATGATGTGTTACATATGAATTGTGCTTTAAGCAGAATTACAGCATTTCCATATGAAAATTTACTAGGGAAAATGAAAAAGTCTTTGCGTACAGCAAGTAAACCATTAGCACAGTTATGTAGACGGCTTCATGAGCAACAATATGTAAAGAAAAAACAACCTAGTGTACCCCGAGTACTAGAAATTTTAGAAGAAAAAAACAATCAAATTTTGAAAATAATGTATAAACAATTTATTATAACACCTTTTCCACCGAACAACACAATACTTACGAGAGGTAAAAATGTTATTATTGTTAGAGAAATTTTATTAAACGGGGAAGATGACATAAATATCAAAGGACAAATTCTACTGAAAAAGAATCCCATTTTTGAGTACCCTTTTGATTCTGAGTTTTTTGATATGTGGCAAGTGCAAACTGTACCTTTAAACGAACTTATAACATTCCGTTTAAGTGACATTTCTTGTAAGTTGGTACGTTTAACTTTAAATATGAAAGAAGGTGCTTCTAATAAAATGTACGTCATCCCACTGTTGCATTATTAACAATAAAATTTAATAAAACTTAAAGTCATGTATAAAAATTGAAAATGAAGAGAAATAAATGGTGTTTTTAAAATATTTTTTTAATATAATCTTTAATAAAAAAACTCATAATTTTAATGTGTTATATAAATTTTTTTATAAAATGAAAATGAAAAAAATAACATAATTCTGATTCGTCAGTTACAATTATTATTTAAAATGTTAATCAAATTTTACGAAAGAATTCATTTATTTTCTGAAATTTTAATAAGTTATTTAAAAGAACGCAATTATTTTTATAGATAGTAAAATTCTTTGTAAGAAATAAATAACTATTCATAATAATATAATTTTCTCTAGGAATTCAATTATTTTCAATAAAATTATAATAAAATTCAAAAATCAAATTTTAAGATTATTTTAAAAAGTTTTAAAAAATATTCTTTGCTTAATTTTTTAAATAACTAAAATATTGAACATATTTCTAAATGAAATAATAATTTGAAATTAGCTCGCCTTACAGCGACCAATTAATGAAGAGTTTTACTGGTATAGTAGAAGTTTCTATGAGAAAGACAGTCGAGCGCGCGCGCTTCTACAGTTTCAAAGTTTTGTAAGTCACATCGTTCTAGTACTTCAGGTACATTCAGATACCAAAGATTGTTTGTTTCTGTTAAAGTGTATAGTATTGTGATAGTTTGGTGAAAAAAGTAAAAAAAGTTACTTATAAATGTATACAGACAATGTTATAAACGACTTTTTATTTTAATTTGTGTGTTAATTTAATTTGGATTAATATTAATTTCAAGATGAGCCGTCTTGAATCACAAAAGCTTCAGAATATAGATGGAATTGTTGGTAAGTACTTAATTTGATAATAGTGTGTTTATTTCAAAAATTTTAGTGGAAAAAGCAAAAGAAATGTAGTGCACTATTGCACTACATTTCTTTTGCTTGATATTAATAACACTACTAATAGTTTTTCTAAATATTTCTCAATTCTATACAAGTTTTAATAAAAATTTAAGTTCTAAATTATAAATTTTGCTGAGCGTATTTTCCCCAAATGTCAAAACAGTTGAATAAAAAATTTATGTTTATTATTCGCTGTTAATAATTGTGTTCAGATCTGGTAATAATGATTATTATAATTTAATTATATAAATAATAGTAATAAAAATACTATCTGCAACTTGTGCAAATTCTTCTCAAATGAAAATTGGAATGTCTTTAAATAAATGATAATTATTATTATTATGTAAATTATTTATGTTATTATTTAAATTTTGTATTATTATTTTAACAATAATTACAATAAATTAATTAAATAGTAAATTAATATTAAATTACATTACTATCTTTTTTAACAGAGAATTTATACTAGCATAAGAAAGTTTAATAATAATTATCATTGTTTTTTTACTTAACTTATTTATATTATTATTTTAATTGTAAATTATTATTACGCATTTTATTTTTCATATTATTATTTTAACAATTATTATAACCTATTAAAAAAATAATAATTTAATAAGTCTTAAATTTTTAATAATAATTGTTATTGTTAATATTTATTAACATCTTTTTTAACAGAGATTTAACTCTAGCTTCAGAAAGTTATTATAATTTTATTACCTATTTTTCCGTTAGAATGTTTTCTAGGTTTAGAAATAACATCTGTAAAATATATTCATTGTTGTTGAAATGGAAAAACAAGTGTTTTGGAGAGGCATGGGTTCTAATCCGTCCGGCAATAAAACCCCATGCTGCGAACTTTTTTTGTACAACTTGCAAATACTTTATTTTATGTTTCGAAAATTCTATAGAAATATGTAGTTGTATTTTGGGTGGGTTTTTCCTAAAGTAATTTTGTTGTGTTCTATATTTAGTTGTATCTACTCTTATATACTTATTCAAATCATTTGTTTTTCTGTAAATGACATTATTTTTTAAGAAAAGCTATTGTTTCTAGACATGAAGGAAAGTGCTCCCTACAATCCAGACGATGATGTGTACGATTTTCAACTTATCGAGTTCATTACTCGCGGACCCAAAACTAACCGATCAACAGATATAGTCCCTTCATTTTGGGTCGAATTTAATAAAAAGAATGGTAAACTGTTTACTAAATTTTTACCACCGCCATACACAGCTGACGCAACTGCAGTTCTGGAGCATTATGTAAGAGCAAGGCTTCAACCAATGGATTCCTGGAATTCTTATAACATTAAACTAATAGGACAATCCCGTATGTTTCTTTTTTTCGAGGCGCATAAATAGGCCCTAAAAGTCATTTATGAAAATTTTTAGTTGTTACAATTTTATTAGGCATAATCACCTTTTAGCCGAATCTCACCTAAAGAGAAGTTATGTTTAATAAAATTAAAATTTAATTTCTATTTAACACAATTTCTATTCACTAGAATATTCATTTTTCAAAATGTTCAATTACTATATTTTTCATTTAACAGGCTTTTTATTTCAAAGAATTATTATTTAAATGAAGCCGAAATATTTCAGCGGGAAGTTTAAAATCAACCAATCAAAATTTTTTAATAGATTTCGATTGGTTAAAATTCTGTTAACTAAAAATGAAATTTTAATTTTATTAAACATAACTTTTGTATAATTGAGATTCGGCTAAAAAAAGAATATGTCTAATAAAATTGTAACAACTGAAAATTCTCAAAAATTAGTTTTAAGACTTATTCATGCGCCTCTTTTTTTTTTCTGAAATATTCTGAAACATTATATTAATACTTTTTTCAATAGGGACTTACGAGGAAGGCATAAAAAAATTGAAACTGTTACGCAATGATGATACTTGCGTATATTCTGCGGGTACTGACTTTTGCAATGCGTCTCAAAAGGCAGAATATATCACACAAAAGTTTAAAGAGAGGTCACTACAGCAGAATTTTCCGCCTATTCCTGCACCGAAATTATGTTTAACACGGCCATCAGCATATGATTCTTCCGGGATGAAAGAAAAAATTCAATCTGCCATAAAAGACAGAAAAAAATCTTCCAAAACAAAGAGTAAAGGAAAATCTTTAAAACTGCAAAACCATATTAAAGGTAATGTATAATTATTCTGTAATTATTAATTATTAAATTAAATTATTAATTACAAACAAATGTTTTTATAGAAAAAATTCTAACGTCATCATTATCATCATTATCTTCCGACTCGGATAACTCTTGGGAAAAAAAGGAATTAAAGGAAAAAAGTAGAAAGAGAAAAAGGCCCGTTGAACATGAAAACAGCAGTAAAGTTCGTAAAATAATAGGTAAATAAATATAAAGTTACAGTGATATTAAAATGGCCTCTCGATGTAGATATTACCCAATGGGATTAATGTTATATTACAGTGATGATACTGTAATATTACACGGTTATCAAATTGCAGTAAAATGCACAAGTAATGATTAAAAAAGAGAAGTTTTTCTTTTTTCCTCATATTAAATTTGCACTTTATAAAATTTTTTAATAATTGTGCAATATTACGATAGTAGTCTCGGCAATATCACCACAATGTGATGATTTGACTTTTTTAATTTTACTTTTAAACAATTTTAAGTTAGAAATATTAAATATTTAATTACCGTAAACATTTTTTGTTTCAGATGGTGATGAATTATCAAATTTAAATAATGAAAAAGTCTCTAATATTGAAGATCCTTTAAGAATTCAGCAAGATTATGACAACTACAGCAATTACGATTTACATATGAATGTTCGTAATTTACCATCAGGTAAATAGTTTATTTTAATTATATTTTGTATCTTAAAACATTTAAAAATATTTATTCTATATTTTTGTAAACATACTTTTTTAGGATCTGACATGAACGATAGTAAATCAGAATTAAATGACTCATCTGTAATTAAAAACATTTCATACTTAAAATCAAACAAAACAGTCGACAAAGGTAAAATAAGCCAAAAAATAACACCTCTTACAATTCGTTTATTTTATCAATGATTTAATTAGATTTATATAATTTTTAGGTTATGAAAGTAAGAAGTGTTGTCAATCATTTAAAAAAGGAAAAAACTATTATTCTTAACCCGGCGAGTATGTGGTTGGGCATGTCATGCCCCACATTTACTTAAATCCTTTTAAATCCTAAAATTTCCACTGTAACGTTTTGAAACTTCGAGTAGCTGAAGTTATGGGTTCATAAGAGAAGATGATGGTATGGTGATAGTGTTATGTAAATTATATTTTAAATTACTTGGACGTAAACGTCAATTTTGCATATTTTTGGCGAATTTTTTTTTCCTAATTTCTACTAAATTAATGACAACTGAATTGAGATATATTCTAAAAAGCAGTATTATGCTCCTCATTCACTAATATTTAAAGTCCTGCCTTTATAAAAGTGCAAATTTGATTTTATAATTAAGTTTTAAGTTTTCATTGTTTTATTTAATCATATGATAAATCTTATGACAAAGAGTTGATTTTATCTTTATAAATAAATAAATAATTAAGGAAATATATTTTATTACATGCCTTTTTATAATATAATACCAGAAATTAACTTAATATAGCTATATGTAACATTTATAAGCAATTTTACATTTTGGGCATGTCATGCCCACCACATAGTCGGTGTAACAGTTTCCCGCCACATACTCGCCGGGTTAAATGTATACAAATTATTTTCTATTTTTAGATTAACTGTATTTTTATTTTTTAGACATGAAATACCTTTTAAGTTCATTAAAAGGTTATGGTATCTTACTACAAGAAATATCAAACAGACTAGATTCCCAGGAAGCAATTTTAAGGACATTGTCGAGAGAAAAAGGATTGCCTACTGTTAACTCTATGACGTGTGATCTAGGATTAAATTTGCCATTCAATGATATTGTTGAATTCACCGAATTTAATACCAAATTGGAAGATCAAAAATTTCGAGAAGATTTTGTAAGTTTTAACAGAAAAATTAACTATTATCTAAAGTTATAAATGTTTAATTAACTTATTTATAAATGTAATTCATTTTCAGATAACTTCATTACATTTCCTACTGGATACAGGAGGCAATGTAAGCAAAAGTGTACTAAATATATTGAAAAAATTATTCACCAGGGACTTCGCCTGCAAATTTACAAATATTAAGCAGATGCCGAAAAAGTACACGCTTAATAAATTCAAGATACACCAATGTATTAAAGGTAAAACAAGTAATCTTTATTTTTAAATACCTTTCTTTTTTTCTAAAAATAAATTCTATAAAGTGTATTATAATCTCAAAATTAACATTTTGATTTTTTGTAGGTGCTATAATGAGAACTCAAAATGAGAATGGATCTGCAATTGCCAATGAAAAAAAAATTGTTGACGCAATTGGAAATGTTCTTGCAGGAGTGCGAGATTGGGATGGCGGAAGAAAAGAACGAGAGATTGCTAAACAGGCAGAAAATAATAATAATAATCAAATTACGGAAGAAATGTAATAGGTTATTTAAAATAATACAAATAAATTTAAAAAGTGCTCTTAAAAAATTGATTGTTTATTGGGAATTCAATGGGCATCCACAAGATTACCCAAATTGGGCCCAATTAGATTTTCCAAATTGGGCCAAACTAGATTTCCCAAATTGGGCATTAGTTGGTTTTATAGTTTCAAGCCAATTTATATCCCAAATTGGGATAAGATGGGCTTCCCAATTGGGCTCCACCTTGAACTTGGGAAAACCCAACGGGCGTCAGTTTTCAATGAAATTTTTTCCTTTATTTTCTAAAAATTCAAAAATTTTCAGTTTCATTTCTAATTAAATTTTCTAATTGACAAATATAATTTATAATTATTTTTTTACTTTATATTTAAAAAACTTTGAATTTTATTAAAACAATTGAAATTAAGAAATAAAATTGATGATAATTATTTCCCTATGAAAATTGTGAATTTTCTACAAAAATATTAAGAAACGGTAATATCTAATGTTTTTCTTCCTAAAAAAATGAGTTTGTAAACAATATTATTATTGAGAAATAAAAAATTCGCATAAAATGGGTATTTATTTCCTATTTCTTAATCATAATTTTTTAACAATTAACAATTTTCTATTTTTTATAAATAAAAAAGGAAAAAATTTGCATAATTTACATCAGTCAAACGAAATTTGTTATAAAAAAATGTTATAAACAAAATTTATTTGTTAAACATAATTTTTTTTAAATTTTATAATTTCAAATAATATTTTATTATAAATCATGAAAAAATACCTGGGCAATTCCACGTGAGATTTAAGTCGACCTCTTAAAATCGGACAAAAATTTTTTTTTTTATTCTGTATCGAAAAAAAACAGATACGTATTTTTTTATTTATGTTTAATTGTCCAAATTTTCAAGTTATGAATTTTCGAAAATTTGGACTTTTAATTGTAGACCTATATTCAGTAACTTATAAGTCCAAAAATATTGAGTTTAGGAAAAAGTTGTCAAAGAATGAAAGTTTTAGTTTTCTTTCGACTTTTAAGAAATGTAAACAAAAAATTTTTTTTTAAATTTTTTATTAAAAAAAATTTTTTTTTTATAAACAAATTAATTTTTTTTAAGTTTGGGCCGGATTTTTTTTTTATTTTTTTGTACATTATAATATAGAGAAGATTTTCTAAAAAGTCCCGAAATGGGCCTGATGTGTAAAATTAGTTTTAAAATATTTTCAAAAATCACTTGCAAGCATCACAGTGGGATTTTTTTACATTTAACTTTTTAAAACTGTTTACAGCGTAGACCTTTTTATTTAAAACAAAGAACACTCAAATATATTAAAAATTATACGCTGTAGACAGTTTTAGAAAGTTAATTGTAAAAAAATCCCACTGTGATGCTTGCAATTGATTTTTGAAAATATTTTAAAACTCATTTAACACATCAGGCCCATTTCGAGACTTTTTGGAAAATCTTCTCTATATTATAAGGTACAAAAAAATAAAAAAAAATAAAAAAAAATCCGGCTTAAAGTTAAAAAAAAATTAATTTGTTGATAAAAAAAAAATTTTTTTTCAATAAAAAATTTGAAAAAAAATTTTTTGCTTACATTTCTTAAAAGTCGAAAGAAAACTAAAACTTTCATTTTTTGACAGCTTTTTCCTAAACTCAATATTTTCGGACTTATAAGCTACTAAATATAGGTCTACAATTAAAAGCCCAAATTTTCGAAAATTCATAACTCGAAAATTTGCACAATTAAACATAAATAAAAAAATATGTATCTGTTTTTTTCGATACAAAATAGAAAAAAAATATTTTCGGCCGATTTTAAGAGGTCGACTTAAATCTCACGTGGAATTGCCCACCTGCATATTTTCAATTTGTCAAAAAATATTTTTTTATAGGGAAAAAAAAGAAAACCTATGCAAAAATTAAATTCAAGTGTGGACAGACAGAATGAAAGAATGAAATACGAATATCATTATAGTTAATATAATAAATGCTTAAAATTTTATATTTTTTCAATTGAATGAAAAAGATGGATTATTATTGTTCCTGTTTACAAATCTGCTAATAAAAATAATATTGAAAATTATAGGTTAATATCAATTTTAAGTGTATTTTCTAAGATATTTGAAAGTTTAATTTTTGATTCTTTATATGCGGCTGTGTCGAACATTATTATTTGTGAAAAACATGGCTTCATAGAGGGTTGTTCTACATTGACTAATCTTGGGATTTTTACAAATTATCTGACTAACGGTCTTGAAATCGGTAGTCAAATTGAGTATTATTGTAATATTGTTTTTGTGAATGTGTGATTGGATGCATGTGAATCAAAAAGTGTTGAGTGAGAGATCTGTAGATAGTCGTGATCTGGTCTAGTGATGTGTGATATCTTATAAGTTATCAATTAACATTAATTAAAATTTTAACCCTTTTAATTTTTGGTAATGTTTTGATATCCGGAGCATGATCGCGCATCATTGGGATTTGATTATTAAAGCTCAGGTTTTTTCTTTCTTTATCAGAAATTTTCTAACTATTTTCTACTTCAGCTTGGAGAACACACATTAAAGTCCCCGAGTGTCGCACATCCAGTATGCGGTTTGATGATGGATTCGTAAGTGTGCGCTTTAAGGGTTAAATGTTAGATTATTGGTCCTACTGATCTATGTATGAATTGCTTTGAAATGCATCAGGATTTAGATTGTTTAAATGATTGGTCTTCCCTTAGTCATATGATTGTTAATGTTAATAAAAGCTGTTTATTATTAAGTAATGATTTTTCTTTTAATCATCACATATCGGCGGTTGTTTCGAGAGCCCTAAAATTCTTAGGATTTGTAATGAGATCTGCATTAGCTTTTAATAACATTAATACGTTAAGAGCATTGTACTTTACGCTTGTAAGATCGATACTTGAATACGTTTCTGTTATTTGGTCGCCAATATATGTATTTAATTTTATTAGAATTGTACGTGTTCAAAATCGATTTCTCAGATTTAAATGACAAGAGATTAGAATTTGCGTCTATAATCTGGTTTCCCTATTATGAGGTGCACATTCAACGTATTGAAAGAGTTCAGAATCGCTTTCTTCGATTTGCTGCTTATTGTTTGGGCATTTTTTATGACCGAAATAGTCATGATTACACTAATATCAGAACGGCCTTGAGTGTTCCTAAGTTGTCAGCTCGTTTTCTTTATATAGATTTATTATTTTTTTTATAGAATAATTCAGGGTTCTGTCAATTGCTCAGAATTAGTTTCAAAGGTAAACTTATTTGATCCACATGTAAATCTTCGTTCTTAAAATTTAATTCGTGTACCATCCCATAGAACTAACTATGGTAAAAACTCAGCTATTTCTAGAATGGCTGCTGAGGTGAATAACTATTGTAACAAAATTGATGTCTTTGAGCAAAATGAGAACATATTTTTACTACTAGTTAGCGAAAACAAGTTCTATTGACAAATTAATTTGCGACAGTATTGACCTATTTTTTATGATCGTTTTTTGGTATTAAGGACTTAGCCCGTGTAAGAATCTTAAATAAATAAATAAATAAATCTTTATTATATTTAGGTTCTTATATTTATCATGTAATTACCTAATATATATCAAATATTTGATAAAAAGAATTAATCTTCCATTTTGTTTGTGTATCAGAATAATTATATGGGGGAAATCACGTACATAGGAATGATGGTGTGAATGATAAGCAGCAGGGTTAGTCCCCATTGAACCGTGTAACACGGTAATTACGGTTACAAAAACACGGTAATAATGTAATTATTTTTAAGTTAAATTTTATTTAATATTTTATTTCTCACACCTCATTGTACATTTTGATCCTTTGAGCCAACTTTTTATCTTTAGAAGGTATGGAGATAAAAGTTTAAATGAATTTCAACTTACTTGAAAGCGCTCAAGCACGTCGGCAACCATTTAACCATTATCTAAAAGAAACTTTCTTAAAACATTACCAAGGCGGATAGTCTCACTTACAGCTGATTCATTTCTCAAATAGAGAAACGTGGACATTTTGGAAGGTATAAAAAAAGGAGGGGAACTTTCCGTTTATCAAAGACTAATTTTCTTGGTCACTTTATGGTTGAATCTTATTACTTTGACCAGGTTTCTATATAGTGGGTTCCTCTCGTTACTATGAAATCAAAGTAATAAGATTAAAGAATAGTTATGTGGCCAGTTAAATAAGTAAATGTAATTAGAAAAAATAGTCAAATTGACTAGGATAATGATATTAGATAACTGACTTTGTATTCATATACCTTAGAATTAATTTAAACTTAGAAAATAAATATTTAAGGCTAGGGGGACTCGAACACCTGAGCTTAAAACACCTAATGCCAATTTTGGCCCTATCTTAGTATAACATTCCCAAAATTGGTCTAATGTTAAGTACGTCAATTTTTTCATCTTTTTTTATTTCAAAATTCGTATTTTGACAAAATTAGTTTTCTGATATTTTTCTCACTAAATTTCATATTGTATAAGCTACAAATAATTTTGATTATTTATACCACATATTGCCTATTGAGAATTACGATATACAAAATTTAACAATAATTGCTTCTATTTCCTTTACAGTCAGTGATCTGTTATATAAATCGTGAGTGAATAGATGACCATAGTAAATGTTGAATTATATCAACAGTTCTGAAACTTCTGCTTTGAAAATGAGGGATATTAATATCTCTATTAATTATTCAGGTATTAGTTACATTCAACAAATTACTGTTGCTGTAAACTTTCCACAGAAAATTATAAAATGATAATAACAATAATAACTAAAAATATGAAGCAACGGATAATATTAAGTATATATGCAGAAACATGATTACAACAAAATGATAAATGTAAAATTCCATGCATTTTCCTGGTTTTTACAGGCCAATGATTATGAAATTCTAGACAATAATTAAAAAATTTCTGGCATGATTACATAATATGGCTTTGGCTTCTAAAATTTTTTTTAACTTCTAATTATA